TCATCCTTGTTGTTCTTCTCTGTACTCTTTCTAGAATCTCAACATCTTTTTCGTATCATGGTGACCAAAAGTAGACACGATATCCTAAGTGTGGTCTTACCAATCTTGCCCTCTATCTTAGAAAGACCCCAGAATGGTGGAGTCCAGCCCCCTCAATTCAAAGCCTCCCTTATCTTGGCTTGACTGCATCCACACAAGAGAGATCATTGGTTAGATTTTAAGGATTTCATTAACAAAACTGCTGTTCGACAAGCCTTCAGAATTGGTGGCCAAAATAGGCAGGATTCTCGGAGAAAGAGGCTGCTTTCATCCTTCATGAGATTTAGTTTTTATTTCCTGATCACCTTTGTCATCCATTTTGACCCTTGCCACACCAGGTGTGGGGTTTCTTTAAGGAGGTAACAACAAGGGCAGAGAGTGCATCCATGCCCCTTCTGCCCATCACTGCAGCCCAGCCTTAACTGGCTACTGATCAGAACGTTAACGGGGGGGGGGGGGGGGCATCCACACACATACGAAAGAGATGGAGCTTATAGTTTGCCACCAAAAAGCAACAAGCTACTTCCCACAATTTATTACAGAAGTTCCCCAATCAAAAAAATGAGTTTGACAAGACAAATCATTCCAGTTTTTGAAAGCTCCATGTTGAATTCTGTTAGCCAACTCATCATTATTGGGGTTTTCAAAGATCAACCTCTTTACTTCCTGCTTGGCAAATGTCTTCTCAAGGATTAGGTGTGACTGATGGGTCTGTAGCTTGCTGGATCTTCCTTTCTTTCCCCACTTTTGGAAGATTTGGATACTTCTTGTCCAACCACTCAGGACCTCAAAATTACTCAAAGATAATCCATAAGAGTTTCACCAAGGTGGTCAATACTTTTCTGTAGTAAGCTAGGACACAGTATGTCTGACGCTGGATATTTTAAAATCTTAAGTGTAAATAGATACTCTCTGACACCAGGTTTTAGTTCTCCCCTCTCATCTTGCTCTTCACCACTTCCTGACATTCTCACTGATGAAGATTTACCCAAAATAGGACTAGAGAAACTCTGGTTCATTTTCATCTATCAGCATTTATTAAGATAGTATATTGATTCTTCCCTTTCCTTTTATTTTGAACGTATCTGATGAGGTTGTGTTTGTTTCTCTTGGCACCCATTGCCAACTATAGCAGGTATTTGCTGGAACTCATTTCTATTTTCAAAACTTCACATAAAGCTTTTTGTGCATCCACACTGACTTCTTCCATTTCTTTCTTCTTTTTAATTATTTGCATTACGTTTTTAGAATCTTCTTTCTAGGAACTTCTGTCCTTGAGTTTCTTTTTCATTAGCTTCTCCTGCCATGACATCTCATTTCCCATTGCTCTGAGTTTTGGCTACATGCAGCAATCATTCAGTTGCTTTTGGTGCTTATGATCCAGCAGGTGGTATTTTATAGAATGAACATGATGGAAACGTCGCTTCCTCTCCTTCCTGGGGGCATCCCAGATTCATGGCTGTCCGGAACCATCCCTGCGAGTGATGAAGCATCCACAACTCTAGGAGGCAGGCTGTTCTGCTGTTTTGTAGCTCTCACGTGCAAGAACTTCCACCATATTTCCAGTTTGAATCCCCCACTTCACTGGTTCTTGTCCTACTCTTGCGGACTATAGAGACTAAATCCACACCCTCTCTCCAATTTGGATGGCCGCTCTCCTGGCTCTCCTCAGCCTCCCCTCCTGCACACACCAAATTCCTCTGACCGGTCTTTGAAGAATGTAGCCTCCAAGCCCCACACCATCCTTGCTGCTCTCCCTGGGCCCTTGGGATTTTGTGGCAGCAGACCCAGTCTTCTTGGTGCAGACCGAGCGGAGCAGGTCAGAGCAAAACTGTCAGTGATCGCAACCCTAACTTTCTGTAAATGCAACCCAAGATGCATTAACTCTTTTGACAGCTGCAGCAGATTTGTGATTCATGGATAATCCATGGTCTACCAGGATGCCCAGATCCTTCCCATACATACCACTCATGCCAAACCAGGTATCTCCTATGATGCAATTGGGCCCCTGGTTTTTTTGATAAAATCAGAACCCAATGTTTCTCCCCATTCAACTATATTTGGTCAGATAGGACCCAATATTTAACTTTATTGAGATCCTTTTAAATAGTGTGCCTGTTTTCTGAGTGGTTAGTCTTTCTCCCAGCTTGGTGTCATCTGCAAATTTGCTGAGGATTCTTTCTATTTCTTTGTTTAAGTAATTTATGGCAACGTTGAAGAACACACTGGGATGGCCCTGGGATGGAACCCTGAAGTACCCTACTGCAAACACTTGGGTGTGGATCCATGAAGGACCACAGGATGGATACTGTTGTTCAGCACCAAATTCAGTTGATGGTAGGGCCATCCACCCCACATTTCCACTCTTTATCAAGAAAGAGCCTATAGTCGTCCTTTTCAAACTCCTTAAAGGATCGTCTGTCAAAAACTGCTTCCCTGACAGCATTGTTTTTTGCCCTCAGTGATTTGTTTCTCACCACTCCGTCTTCTGGTGGCCTCTTTTTTTTTAAAAAAAATTTTTTTATTGGTTTTTAAAAACAAACATAAACAAAAAAAAACATAAAAACATCAAGCTATCTTCCATAGGTGTACATACAGTGTGCCGGTTGGTTTACAATTTGTTTTGTGCTTCCATTTTGTAGTCTTCAATTACAATTACATTACATATAATCTCATATTGTCAATCAAAAATTAAATACTTTAGTATCATTATTAATCAATCATTTGACTATACTTTTATTCATTCATGTTTTACAAGATAACCATAATTTACTTAGATCTTATAACAGTTCATATTACCATCCGAAATCTATCCTAAAATCATTTTGTAGATATAATAAGAAGTACATCTTTGTATATTTATTATTTTCTAAAAGTCTACATAATTCAATACTGTACTTTATTGTCTAACCATTGATAGAAAAGATCCCAAATTTTATAAAATTGTTTATCCTCTTGTTCTCTAATTTCAAATGTCAATCTACTCATTTCAGCACATTCCAATATTTTCTTAATGATTTCCTCCTGTGATGGTATTTTCTCATTTTTCCAGTTTTTAGCAAATACAATCCTAGCCGCTGTTAATACATTTACAACCAGGTATTTCAAGTCTTTACTATATATTTCAGGTAAAATTCCCAATAAAAATATCTCTGGTTTCAAGTCTATATGTTTTTTTGTCATTTTTTCCAACCACATGTGGATTTTAGTCCAGTATTTTTTAGCATCCGCACAAGTCCACCACATATGGTAGGTAATATGAGCCAGGTGTCTGATGACATTTCCAACATTTTTCGGATTTATTCTTGAATAGCATCTTGCTATTCTTGTCGGGGGAAAATGCCACCTGTAAAACATCTTATACAAATTTTCTTTATATGCTGTTGACATTGTCATTTTATAATTCTGAGACCACCATTTTTGCCATTTCTCTAAATCAATCCCATATCCAAAATTCTTCCCCCAAGCAATCATAGTTTCTTTAACTTGTTCTTCTTCTAGTTTAATTTCTAACTAAATATCCATACAATTTTTTAATCACCTTTTCATCAGTACCTGTCAAAATCTTATCTAAGTCAGTTAGTTTATCATAGAAACCTTCTGTTTTAGAATCTTTATCATACCTTGAATGTATTTGCGCATATGAAAACCAATTCATCTTTATACCTTGTTCCTCTAGTTTTGCATAGATTTAAGTTCACCCTTTTCATTCAATATTTCACCATATCTAACTGTTTGTTCCTTTTTGTATATTATAGGATACGAAAATGCTTCAATAGTCGATAACCAGACTGGAATTTTCAAATAACATTGTCTTTTAATCTTCTCCTAGTTTAACCACAGAGACTCCCGTATATAATGTCTTCTAAAATACCCCTGTGTTTTAGTTCCTTTTGTTCCTTTCCTCTGGGGGCCTCTTTTTAAATTGCTTGTCATTCTTCTAAGCATGGAGAACGATCCCTTCCTATTGGTGTTCCTGCTGCTTCAATCTCCTCCATTCATGCATTTACTTCCGTTACGGTTTCTCAGAGACGGGAGTACCTGACCCCACTTCTTCTATTCAAGGACGGAGTTTGCCCTGCAAGGTCACAACAGCATACTGTGCCTTGTCCTTGGAAGTGGGAATCAAGGTCTGGCAGGCCAGGGAGCCCAATGGGAAAGGGTTTCCTGCTGCTTATTGCCTGAAACCCAAGAGAACATGTTCTGTTTTCTTCCTGTACTTGATTGGCTGATTTTATGCCATCAAGTTAATGTTGATTCTTAGTGACCACACAGATTTTCTTCAGGACAATCTGTGTCCAATCTGGTTCTCAGATCTTCCAGTGGCGCCCCCCACTTTAACTTTCTTTCTCCTCACTAGCCCTAGGAATCCTCGAGTAGCCCAGGCTACTCGAGGTTTGCACTAACAAGGCACCTGTGAGCAGTTGGATCCACTTTTCCACAAGTGGATCTCCTTTTTCTTCTTCTTCTTCCCCAGAACAGAATTCCCTTGGCATTCCCTTTTGCTCTAGGCGGGGCCATCCCTTGGTAGCTGAGATCTCTGCTGGCAGCATTTACTTCACTGCAACACAAGTACAAATCTCAAGATCACTTTGAGGATCTGAGTTCAGGGTGTGCCAGGCTCCCCACCTTCCTTTCAAAAGCCTCTCCAGTAACTTCCTCTGATGCTGCCCACAGTGCTGCCCAAGTCAAGCCTGGGGTTTCCAGAAGGGGCTGCAGATGGATAGAGGGCCCCCTGCCTGCCTGCTTCTACACCGTGTGTCTTGAGAAAAGGGGGAGGGGGGGCTGAGCTGAATGATGGCATGGACTGGTGGGGAAGTATAAGGGGAAAACCTGCTTGTTCTGCCCCGCAGCCAGGCGAATAAGGTCCTAGCAAGCCAGAGGTGCATGGAGCGTTGGAGCAGGAGGGTTCCCTTGGCCTGCTCCCCTCTCTCTTGACAACCATCCTCTCCCTTCCCCAGTTCTTCTAGGTCTGCCCAAGAAAATGACACTCGGTGGGGGCGGATTCCCCCAGCCGTACCAAGCAGCCCAGCTGCACCTGCACTGGGGATCGGGGCACACCCGACCTGGCTCCGAACACACAGTGGATGGGCACCGTTATGCGGGTGAGGTAAATCCCAGTCTCTTGTCTGTGGTTCCTGCCAAATCGCTGAAGCCACCTTGCTGGGCTGCTGCTCCCTTTCCTAGGTCTGGGGAGATGAAGCACTTTGCTGGCCTTGAAGCCAAACCCAGGTATACAGCTGCTGCTGAGTCGGATAGGGACTTTTCAAAATGTCATAAAATTGTTTGAACAAGGAACAAATGTAAAATGTAATAAAACTGTTTGAATGGGGAGTACAGGCCTTTTCCCTCTTCTAGGACCCCAAGGGGTTGCAGTGAGGTCTTTGGCATTTTCTCTGGCCAAGAAAGGCACAGCTCTGTGGTCAAAAGTTATTTTCCAGGAGCTTGAAACTCCAATGTTTCCTCCCTCTACCTCACAGGGAGTGGGGTGTACCTAGGCGGAGCATTATTCCTCCCAGGGTTCTGTTGCAGTTGTGTAACACAGGTGCTTCGGGTTATCCTGACAGTCCCATGAAGTACGATTTCCTTTGTGAATAAGCTGCAGAAACACCCCGGGGACCAACAGGGGTGCCTCTTGAGCATGCTCAGTGCTGTTCTCTGTGTTTGCCTCCAGATCCATGTGGTCCATTACAGCTCCCGTTTTGAGAGTTTCCAGGAGGCTGCAAGTGAGCCAGGAGGGTTGGCTGTGCTGGCTGCATTTCTGCAGGTGATGGTGTGTGTGTGTGTCTGTGTCTGTGGGCCAGGCAAGCGCAGTGCTGCAGGAGTGACCCTTGGAACACTGGCAGCATTTCCACCAGCTGCCCTTCAGAGAGGATCCAAGAAATGCCTATTGTTTTAGAAGATCTTAGTTGTTGTTGTTTTTTAATGGACAACGGATGGTGCATTTGTACATAAATCAGGAGCCCCTGGGTCTCCCTCTGGAGAAGCCAGGCCCTTGGTCACATGAGGCAGAGTGCCTACAGACCTCTCGCTGCTGTTTTTGTCTCCCCTTTCAGGTAGGGATGGAAACAAACGAACCGTATCAGCACATCCTCAAACATCTGAGCGATATCAAGGAGGAAGGTAAAAAGGGGGGCAGGGGGCAGTTCCCCCTCCTTTCTCTGCTTTGGGCCCCGCAGAAAATACCCTGGCAGGAGATCTGGGGGTACTGGAGCCAGGCAGAAGGAAGGCCGCGGTCACTAGCAGCAGGCGATGCTACCACTTCCATGGGTGCCTTGCCAGGAAAGTGAGAACCTGCAGGCTTCTCTGCACCGGCCCTCAGTCGCTGCCCCGGCTACCTTTAAACACTTCTTCCCTCCAAGTCAGAAGAGCAGGGCTGATGGGGCAAGGAACTAACGTCACCAGAAGTGGGCACACTGGCATAGTCTTGATCAACCCACCACTGCTGCTCCTTGTGTGAGCGCCAACGATGTCTCTGATCAGCACAGGCCATTCATCTGAATGAGATGCTCTTAGGGTGATCTTTGGGGGGCCCTTCTCCATGACTCACCTCCATGTGTTTCTCTGCATCCTCCCGGCATGATCCTCACAGAGGTTTCTCGTTTCTTAGGAGAGGACACTGCAGTTGCTGGCTTTGATGTAGCCAAGCTGCTTCCTTATGACCTTGGCCGCTATTTCCGCTACAATGGCTCGCTGACCACCCCACCTTGTTATCAGACGGTGAACTGGACAGTCTTTAATCAGACCGTTCGTCTCTCCCAGGAACAGGTTTGTGCTCCGTGGTCCTCCTCTCTTCCTCCTTTGAATCCTCTGCCCCCTCTGGGTAACCATGGCTGGCTCTTCTCACTGCAGATCTCGGTGCTGGAGGAGACCCTTCAAGGAGACGACGAGGAGCCCATCCAGAATAACTTCCGTCTGCTGCAGGGCCTTTATGGCCGGACCGTCCTTTCCAGTTTTCACAGCCTTGAGAAAGTTCAGCCAACAGGTAAGTGAGCCAAACACCACCTGTTTTCAGAAGGGAAAAAAATTTCCTGTCAAGCAGCCTTACCTGCAAGATTTCTTGAATCCTACATTTATAAGGGTATCTTTGGAGATTTTGTAGCCCAGTTCTAGTCTACTCCACAATTGTCCACCGTCATCCTAATGGCCTGCTTGGGGCCTGACCCAACCCTGCCCGTCTGGGCACTGGAGATGGAACAGCCCTCTTTCCTCTGTGGGGCCCCCCTGGGCCCCCTCCTCAGCTTGACCTCCGTCTCTGGAGGTTCCGTCAGAATCCATCCTCAGGACTCTCCATCTTTTTGTACTTAAAAGTTAACTTTCAAGGTTTGGAGATGAATCTCCCATTTTTGCTGGGCCCTTATCTGAATATCTCCTCTCTTTCATGAGCTTGTGGCCAGAGAATGCGACTCCTTCATTTTTTAAAATCAAGGCAGGGCCAACCGTCAGCACAAGCCCTTTGGTAATGGGATCAGTTCTGTCTTCTCCACATGACAAGCTGGGAGCCCTCAGGATCCCACAAGCAGCGTGCAGAGCAGCAGAAACCCCAGGCAGGCAGGCAGGCAGGCAGAGGGGGGCAATGGCTCCCAAGCTAGAGGGGGCCTTCAAGCCCACTCAACTCTCTCCAAAGCTGGCTAAGCAAAGAGCAGGGAATCCAGCCCCAGGCCTATGTCCAACCCTGGGAGAAGCAGAGGTCGGTCTCATCCGGTGGGGGTGGAGGTGCCCCCCCCTCATTTTATTAATGGGCACCTTCCTTTTTTGGGAAGAGAGCCGATTTCATTGTATGCTAAAATCCCAGGAGGCAGAGCATTTCTACACCGTGGGAGGTGGGATTCCCCCAAAAACGCAATGGAAGGACAGATTCTGCCTGTAGTATATGATCTGGCAGAGAACCAAACCGAAAAGGGGTTTCTAATAACCAGCATGGAAAGCTGGCTGACCAGCTGCCACCAAGTAGGTATTTCCCCCCCTCCCCCCCATTCCCCAGCTGTGGGCAAGGACGTGTTTCGGCAACTGAAGCTTCCACCTTCTCTTCACGGGCAACCTCTGTGCCCCCCCCTGAAACTATGCAGGCGTGGGTGGTGGGGTGGGCAGAGGATTTGCCAGCACCTCCTCTTCAGGCAGGTACACAAAATCTGCTTAAGCTCCCTTGCGAAGTCCCCACTGGGGGGTGAAAGGGAGGAGTGACTCATTGAGATGATTGAAACTCAGCCACTATCTTCTGGGAGCTGGAAAGTCTCTCCTGGTTTGCGCTGCTGCTCCAGCCTTGCTGGCTAAGCTGGTTTTGTTAAAAATGAGTGATGGGGGGCTCAGGCATGGGTGGGTGATGAAAGGGATTCTTGACTGAATTTACCATAATGAACCAAACTAAAAAGACAGTCTGGGAAGAAGCAAAGGATTGAGGCAACTTTCAAGATGAAGAAGGCATCTGCAAGAATCGGTATGTGAATTGCTATCGCCAAACTTTAAGTTTAAGACAAAGTCCCGACTAGGACATCTAAATATCTGACACCCCTTGAAAGGTACATCAGGAAGTACACCCAGCTGCACCCCTGGCTTCTGGTTTGGGGAACTGCTCACCAAGAGCACCTCCCCCTTGCTGTCCCCAACCCGGCCTAGAACTGCTGCCAGGCGCCAGTCCAACCTGCCCATCGGTCCAGCGGATTGGAAGAACTTGGTATGTCTCTGCCTTTCTTTCACCTTCCTAGAGATCTCTCGGTAAGGAGAAAGAAGCAGGATACCCTTTTCCCATCCCTGGGAGATGGAGGTCACTTGGGGCACCTGATGAAAGCATCTCCCAAGATGGTCTTTCCATTTGTGCACTTTGCAATGCTTTGCTATTATCTTAGCTAAGTTTATATGCCACTCCAATCGTGTCTGAGCAGCTTCTAGGCCTTCAAAAGAATAATGGAATTAAAGCTTTGCGGTGTAAGGATAATAATATAACAACGTAATAAATAAAATTCCACATGCCAAAAGAACCACAATACTACTCTGTCAGAAGACCCTTAGGGGCCTCTCTCAGCCCTCAAAGTCTGCGGCTTCATGGCACTGAGGAAAGGCTGGCCGCTGAGAAGAGCCAACTCTGGGAGCCTTGCAGATGGCATTTCCCAGAGGAAGCTTCATCTTCCAGATCTGAAAGGATGGGCGGAGACTAACACCTCCCCCCCCCCCCCCCCCCCCCGATCTCCCACTCCCAGCTACGACAGATTTCAAGGCTGGCAGCAAGGACCACGAATTGCACGCACAAACGGGCCAGTCACAACCAGGGCAGCTTTCAGGGCAGAGGTATTGCATGAGCAAATCAATGGCTGTATTTTGGAGCAGCCGAGGCGCCTTCAAGGGCAGCTCCATGCAGATCACTCTTCTGTGACAGCTCCTGATCCAAGGAAAGGCTGCCCTGGGCACAGCTGCCACTTGCTTTCACTCCTGAATTACCACCCAGCTCCTCTTAGGGAACCAAGAGCCCCTGTCCAGAGCCAGAGATGGGATATTTCTGGAATCGGAAGCTTCCACACTCAAAGTCATGGTTAGTTGCTGAATGAGGCAAGACGATGAGGGTAATTTATTATGTCTGCCCACCTCCCAACTTTGAGTGGTTCACAAGGGATGGAAATAAAGCGTGCAAAAAAATAAACATTTGCCCGCTTGGCAAACAGTTCAGCACTGAACAGGAGTAAGAAAGTAGGCTGTTCCTGGCTGGTTATAGGCGTACTGGTAACCCTTGACTTATGGCTATTTATTTAGTGACTGTTCAAAGCTAACAACAGTGCTGAAAAGAGATTTACAGCTTTCTTCATACTTATGACCATTGCCATTTGTGACCTTCCCAGATGGCTTCCAACAACCAAGGTCAATTGGACAAGCTGGATTTGCTTAATGACTGTGATTTGCTTAACAACCATGGCAAAAGATGTAAAATGAAGTTAGAACCCATGGTGGGGGTAGGGTGGCTGAGAGGATTTGCTGTGCAGGTGAGACAAACTGTAAAGTGTTGGTATGATTATGACCTCATGATCTTTGACTCTTGGCGAAGGTACCTTTTATGTATACTGAGAGCATTTGCACCAAGACAAATTCCTTGTGTGTCCACACTTGGCCAATAAAGAATTTTATATTCTAAACAAAAAACAAAAAAAGGAGGAGAATGCAAGTTCGGGTAAAGGGGTTGTTTGGCAGGGAAAACTGAAATGTCCCGAAAGGTTAGAAATTTGAGCAAGGTGGTGAACTATGGTAGTACAGTATATCTTGAGAGCATATTTAATGGGAATAGGAAAATGCTGGCACGGGAACTGATTGATTTTGTTTATTTAAAACATTTATATAGCTACCCATCTTATACAGCCACAAACTCTGTGTGGCTCCCAGTCAAAAATTAAAACAACATAAAAGCCATATTAAAACTATAAAATCCAAACAGATTAAAAACTCAGGGAGTTGACTAGAGTTGGTGGAAATATAGGTGGCTGTAGAAGTGCTTTAAATAAATAAAAAAGAAACAAATAAAAGATAAACCTGGTACCAAATCAAGGTTCCAGTATACAGTCACCTGATCTCCTCCCAGAGCTTAGGGGGAAAACCCAGGTCCTCAGAAGGGTAGGAGAACAGGGGGAAAGTGATCCATGGGGCACCGAAAAGGCATCCTCTCGGTTCCCATCAGATGGCAATATTTAAGAGAGGGACTGGAAGCATGCCCAGCCTCTCTGACCTGGAAGAGAAAGGTGGTCCTGCAGGTAGCCTGGTCCTGTGCCATAGAGGGCTTTCAAGGTGAGGGCCAGCGCTTGGAATTGTACCTGAAGGAAACTGGGAGCCAGGGCAGCAACCCATCACCCAGCGCGATGCCACATTCTGGGCCAGTTGAAGTTTCTGAGGCAGCCCCAAATAGAGTGCATTACAGGAATCCAAGGCAGGAGGTGACCAAGATATGAGTAACCGTGAACAAGGTACCTGGCCTCTCCTTGGATCACCCCCGCCTCCGATTCAAGGTTCGCCGGCCACGGGCTGCTGCGTTTGCCCTGCCTCTGCCGCAGCCCTGGAAAGCACACAAGCCGCTCCCTCCTCCCCGCGCCTTATCAGCGATGCCGGCAGTCAAAGGCGGCACCCGGCCCAGGCCAGAGCTCCTTTGGCCAAGCGGAAGAAGCGTTTGCCCGGCTCCTCCCCAGGGCGATAAAGGCCAAGCTGCATTCCAGGCCCGCCCGGGCAGCAGAAGGGCGCTGACCCTCCTTGGCAGGCGGAGTTGGCCGGCGAGAGAAGCCGGAGCCGCTGGCTACTCTGCCTCGCGAAGCGACCTTCTCTGGGGCTCCCAGTCTCAGCTCTCCCGAACGGCCAACCGGGGCAGGCGCCGGCTTAACTCGGCATCTCTGCTTTCCACCGACGGGAATCTCGACTGAGTCACGTTCTTGCGAGATGGGTGGCTGCACAATTTTCCATTCCTACCTAAAACTGTTCGGGAGACTCACGGCCGCCCCCTTTCCCGCTGAGGTTCGGATAGGCAGCGGACTCGCCCCCCTCCCCCCAGGCCGTTTGTGCTCTGGATGAAGCGATGAAAACGGGAATCTGAAGCATTCCTGGGCTGGCTCCGCGTGCGTGCGGCCGTATTCGGGCACCCGCGCACGGAACAAGAACGAGCGGGGACGGCAAAACGTTTTGTCGGGGCGGGAGCAGGAGGGTATGAAAAGACCCGTCCTGACTAAAGGCATTCCTTCCCACGGCCATCAAGCCTCTTGAGATCCAGCATTCCAGGAGGCAGGGGAACGGGGGGAGACCCGCCCAGAAGAACTGGGAGGAGCGTGGCGGGGACCCATAGCGTGTCTGGCAATGGGCGTGTGCAGCTGACCTTCCTTTGATTGTCTTGCAGGTGGCGGGCCTTTGGAGGAGGGAGGGGGCCAGGCAGAACCTGAATCAGGTACTGTTCCGGAATCCCTGGCTCTCCTCGGCCGGGCTTGTGGGGGCGGGGGCTGCTGTTTGCTTAGAGTTGAGGTATTCCTCCCCTTCTGTTCCCTAAGGTGAAACCTGGTTTTTTACATTTAACCCGATCCTTAAATTAACCTGGTGATTCATTTCATGCAGGTTACTGATACTGCTTGCCCGACAAGGTTGTGCCAGGCAAAGTCCCCAACCCAGCTAATTAAGCCCAAGGGGGTTAGCCGGTCTTGTTGGGGGCTCCTTCGCTCTCTACCCACAGGTCAACATCCTGGAGAGGGCAGGAAGAAATGCCTCCCCTCAGTCTGGGCTAGTGGCAGAAACAGTACTTCCCCAACCGTCCCCACAGCGAACACTTTGCTTATCTTCCCTCCGCCCACCCAAGAGAAAGCTCCTGCCCCCTGGTGGCCACCAGAAGGACCAAAGAGTATTGAGCAGCTGGGATGGGCGGCTGCCATTTGCCCCAAATGTTTCAAACCTGTTGTGAGGATGCAGCTGCCGGCCTTCATTCCAGCTGCTTAGGAAGGTGCCTTTCAGCTGCAACTCAGAATGCAAGGAGGAGGAAGCCCCCCTCAATCCTGATAGGCAGCTACACATGGGGGCTTCTGCTGGGGGGGGGGGCAGGTGAGGAGCAGAGCAAGAGAAAAGCTGACTCAGAAAGAGGTTTGAGTCCCTGCTGTCTCCCTCTAGGCGGAGGTCCCTCCTCTCCTCTGCCAGAGGGCGCCCCAAGAGATGGCCATGACCCGGCTTCTGGAAAAGGTACTCCCCTGGCCACACCAGGCTGGGTTAGAGTCAGCTGACTGCCTCCTCCTTGGCTTCAATGACCATCTCAGAAGCGGGTGGGTGGGTGTTGGGGAGCCAAAGTCTTGCCAAATGGCTTCTGCACACATTCTGGATGGTTTGTGGCCACTCTGGGTTGAGCCCTTCCGCCAGAGGTGGTCTCCCTTCCCCCACGAGCGCTGGGCTGCTTCCCTCCTGCTGCTTGCTCTGGGTGCCTGTTCCAGATCAGAAGCCCTCCCTGGGCACAGGGAAGGGCAGGGGGACCCCAGAAGCAGCCGCCAGTGCTCACCTTCAGCTGGGCTTGGAGCCAAGCGGGGTGGAGGCTGGGGAGTCAAACTTCCTCCTGGGGGAGAACAGTGCAAATGTCTTAACTGGCAGGAAGCTAGTGCAGGAGCAGAACTGAAGCTGCTGCATCTTCTGGTGGTAGGAATCAGGCTGGCCCAGGGAGTTTACTTCTTGGGCACCACCCAGACCCAGCCACCTTTAATACCCTTTGCCCAGCTCGTGTGGCCCAAGCACGCTCTCTAGCAAGCAACCATAGCAATTTATTATGTGCATTTGCTGCCCAACTCTCAGCGGGTGGGGGGGCTCTGGGCACCTCCAACCCAAGAAAGGGAGCTGGCAGGGGCTTTGAATTCACTTCTTCCCAACCTCTTGAGCTACTCTGGTGGTTCTGTTTCCAGGTGCTGAGCAGCAGGTGGGCACCTCCCTTCACACAGGTAAGTGCCTGGGCACCTGCTCACAACTGGCCGTGCCAGCCCTCCCTTCCCACTGCAAGTATGATGGTGACACCAACAGCAATTGGGGCAGCTCCTGTGCTCAGAAACAGGCCAGGTCCTTCCACAGGACTCCCAGAGGCGACTGAAGCCTGAACACAACTGGGGAGGGGCTAGGCAGCCACCTGGGGATGTAGGGGCCGGGAGGGGGGGAGGTTGCTGCGTGTGAATTCCCAACATGAATCCTACTGGCTGGGTCCGTGGAGCTGCAGTCTGAAAATGTTTCAAACACCAACTTGATACGCCCTGCCATCATCTCTCCTATGGGGGAACCTTTTTCTGCAGGGGACATTCTGGCTATTCTCTTTGGATCCCTCTTTGCGGCCACGGCGCTTGCCTTTGTCTTCTACGTCCACAAGCACCGGAGGCAGGCAAGCAGGTGAGAGGAAGCCCCACAGTGGGAGGCAGCATGCAGACCTCTGCTTCCTGCTTGGCCCAGGTGCTCATCGGCTTTGGTACCTGCCCATCTAGGATGCCAGGGACCCCAAGAACGGCCATGCGGGTGGGAGAGCGATCCCCATGCCACCTGTTCCTTTCTCTCTCCGCAGACACCGGGCACCAGCCACAAAGCCTGCTGCCCTCTACATTCCGGCCTCCACTGATGAGCATGCACTGTAGCTGGCAGCCCACCCTCTGCCCCTCGCCCTGGGAGCTCCTTCCTGCCCCAGCCTCTTTGAAGCCCCATGCGCCCCACCCCTCCCGTGCTAGCAGATGGGGTGGGGTTCAGGGCAGCGCGAGGAAGAGAAGCCTGAAGACTGGGGGGGGGGGCTGCCTGGAGGAGAGGGGCTGCAGAGGTGCCCAGCCCAGCAGAGTGGACTTGTGGGAAATCATGGCTCCTCGCCCAAAATGCAGCAGCCACCGTGCTCCCCAGACACTTCTAGCCAGAAACCTGTGACTTACCTTCAGGCTCTCCAGCAGGAAACCACGGGCTGCTCTGTATGGCAAGACCCACCTGGCTGCCAGGAAGCCCTCTTGGCACAAGGCTTGCCCAGTGGCTGTGGGGAGGGCTGGTGCCACCGAAAGGCAGGGAGGAGAGACTCACGCCCTTCTCGTTGGGAAGCCTCATTGGCCGAAAGCCGGACGCATCTGATTAAGCGCTTCTTCATGGCCTGCACAAACACAGCAGCCTTGCCCCTCGGCCGACTGGCTGTTCTCGCAAGCTCAACCTTCTTCACACAAAACCCAAATGAAACCGTAGATTCTAAAAAAAAAAAAAGGTTTATTTCGGGCTCCTTTTGCCAAGCCACTCCAAGGCGGCCTTTAAATGAAGCAGATGGCAGTGGCTGGCTATGCCAAAGCGGTCCAGGAAATTGGGAGGTGGGGAATCACCCTGTGAATACAGGGTTTCCTCCCCCTCCCCCCGCAACGGATTTTACAGGGTTAGGGTTTTCCCCAGGGGATTCCTCCATCTGCAGAAGCAGAGGCTACCCCAGGCCCCTTCCTGGTCAGCAGGCTGGCTGGCGGGTGGGGGGCAGCTGCAGGCAAAGGATGACCTGCCCCTCCTCTCCAAGCTCTGGGTAAGGGCCACCCCAGTAGGCCAGTTAAAAAAAGCAGCAGCAAAAAAATACCCAGGAGAGACGTACAGGGGAAAAAACAACAATTAGAATGAAGCATGAACTACGAACACCCAAACCAAGAGGGCTGTTGGCATCTCCTGCCTGGCCAATCGGAGGGAAAGAAGGGTTTCAGCAGATGCCACACAATTCTGCTGTGGAACTGACGGCCACAAGATGGCCTGGGAGTTATAAAAGGGGAGCGGCAGATCCTCAGAGGAAAATAAAAAGTCTTACATTTACAGGTAATCCTCAACTTACAACCATTTGTTTAGCAAGTGTCTGAAGCTACAACGGCAGTGAAGAAAGTGACTTATGATTCACATGACTCAAATCCAGCACTTGGCAACCAGCAGGTATTCATGGCGGTTGCGGCATCACGTCATGGCCTTTGGTGACCTTCCCTGCCGAAGGGGGAAAGCCTAACAGCCAAACAACAGCAGCAATTCACTTCACACGATTGTGGCAAAAAGAGGGCACAAGGCACTGAACCGCCTCACTTCACAATCAAGTGCCTCACTGGTCCCAATTAAGGCTGTAAGTCAAGGGCCCGCTGCCTGTTCAGGGTAGGCGGGGTGTCTGTTTCTCAGTGCCAGAGAAAGGGCGAGGGGTGGGGGAGAGACTGAGCTGGCCAAGAAGTTTGTGCCAACTAAGGCCGTCAGCATTGGTACCTTGCAACAAAAGCCCCCCCACCCCCCATTCTCCCCATGGCGCCTGCCCTGCAAAGCCCCCAGCGCCAGTCAGCGTGCCGGGGGTGACTGGCTTCAAGGAAGTCAATCCTGCCCCACATTGGGTGAGATGGGCACCAGAAACGAAAGCCAACCAAGCCCAAGACTGAAGGGACTTAAATACTGTTCAGGATGCAGAATCTACTGCTGGCTGCCATTCATGCAATACACTGAACCTGCAACAAGCCACATAGGATTGGCTTACAGCAAGCCATGGCTCCCCCCCCCCCCAGGCACACACATGCCCCCCCTCTGTGCCAGAGGCTCCCCAAGGTCTTGGACTTCATTGCTGCTGCCTCAGAAGCTGCCAGACGCCTTCTGCTCATCCGTCCAGCTCTGCATGGGGTGGCAGGCGGCCCTTTTGCAGAGTTATGGCCACACCGGCTGACCCAGGACGTCACGGGAGGCTAAGGCCACCTGCCCCCCCCCCCCCCCCCCGAACAAACACAAGCTTTTAGCCAGTCTCTTTATTGGTGCTACTTAAGAAGAAGGGAAGCCACGGCTCTGCTCAGCTTCTGCTCCCGACTTTCAAGCAAGGCAAGACTGGGTGCTCCACCCGACCCCCCCTCCGCTCCCCTCCCCTCCCTGACAGCAGCAGCAGCAGCAGCAGCAGATCAAGGAGCCTCTCTCTGCACCCTACAGGCTGCCTGGCTGCTCGGCCAACCCCCCCTCCCCCTCCCACCCCATCAAGTCTCAGGAGCCAAAGGGGAGACCCAGCGAGATTCCAAGAGGACAGACAGATTTCCTGGGGCTGGTTGGGGGCAGCCGTTCCGCAGGTCTAGTCCCATCTTCAGCCCCCGTGTTCCAAGGGCACAATCGTCCGATGCCCTCCGGAGAGCCTGGGGCCCAACTTCCTTGCAGGGTGGCTGGAAGGCTCAGGATCCTGCCTGGGGTGCGGTCCGTAGGCCTGTGAAATGGGAGTGCAGCACTTGGAGAGAGCCGAGCCAGCTGGCCGGGGGGGGGGGGGGGGCGTGTTATCCCAGGGGCTACTGCCCAGTGGGGAGTGGGACCTGAGGCGGCCTTGGGCAGGAGCTGGGATGACACTCACACAGGAGGAAGTGCTGCAGGTTCTTTTTGGAGCCTCCGGAGAGATGATAAGCCCACACCGCCATGGCCACCATGAGCAGGTATGCTGGCAAAAGGCTGCCCAGGTAGACTGGGTTCCAGAAGGTCTGCAAGCAGAAGCAGAAGCAGGTCAGCCCCTCCCCCGGCTGGCCTCTGACAGAGAGGCCTCCCACCCCCATCTCGTGCCTGGGGGTTCCCAGAAATGAAATGGGAAGCCCTCTGCTTTCCGGAGGCTGGAGAGGGGCACCACAGCTGCACAGAGGAGGCGGAGTTGCCTACAGCCCCCCCCCCACCCCCTGTAAGCTCCTTGCCAGGGACTGACCGGCAGGAAGAGCCAGCAGAGCTGGGGCAGTCCAGGAGGGAGCGGGGGGGGGGGGGCTGCCTTGCCCGGCTGGGGCCCTGGATTCTCAGGAGCCACTTGGGAGGCAGCATCTCCGTTATCACAATACTAAAAGGCCACAAGGACTAAGTCCCTCCTCCACCCCAGGGGACGTGGGTCCATCCATTGGGGCAGCTAAAGCAGAGACAGGCCTGGAAGGTGCCAACTGGCAGGCATGTTCGCTGCAGCCTAGCGGTCTCTGTTCTCTCTTTTTCTCTCTCTCTCTCTCACACACACACACACAGCCATCTTTAGGGGCGCTACTCACAAGGGCAGAGACGGTGAGATGGCAGAGCACCACAGCTGCCACCTCCCCCCAGCGCCGCGTCTCACAGCCGTGGAAGAAGATGATGCCCCAAAAGGTATGCAGGAGGATCAGCACCAGAGTCATGAAGGCTGTGGGGACAGAGGCAGTGAAGGGGGGTGGGGGTGGAGAAGGCCTCCCCCCACCCAACCACGGACAGCTGTACCTGAAGTCAGGAAGTAGAGCTGGGAGTCTCCCTGGATGCCCACGATGCCAGGCCCCAGGGAATCCGCCAGCAGGTTGATCATGGCGAAGGCGCCGCTCATGAGCCCGAACCCCAAGCCGGCCACTGTGGGCACAGAAGGCGCTGGTCTGAGCGGGGCCCAGAAGGGCCAGTCTATCCCCCCATCATCCAGCAGGGCCTTTGGCCACTCACCCCTCCCCCACCCTGTCCACTCTGGCCCTGGGACAGGGCTTCCTTCTGGAACGAGGAGGGATGCTCTCACCAGCAGGGGCTCTCCTTCTTCAAGCTCTCTTCCCAGCACCCCAGGAATCCCTCCCCCCTCCCCCCCGTGGGGTCCCAGAGTCCCAAAAAGCTGCCTTTCCCCAGGTACCCCTGAGCTGTCTCTCTGGAAACGTACCATAGGCCATTTGCTGGATGGAGATGGGAGAGCAGCCATCTTCACTGAGGGCAAGGAGCCCCTCCATCGCCTTCCTGGGGGAGGGAAGGAGAAGCAGAGGCTGAGTTCTAGATCACCTGGGCTGAAGCTGGCGCCCCCTGCAGGCTTGGACCTCCACTGATACAGGAGGAGACTTCCTGGCTGTGGCCTTGGGTGCAGGATGGTCCCCTTGGCTTTGGGCACCTGGCCAGCCCCAAAGTGGTCGAGTCCCTGTCTCTAGGAGAGATGAGGTGGGGCCAAGCTTCAAAGTTGGTGTGTGTGTGTGTGTGGCTGTGCATACAGACACGTGAGATGCTCCTGTGTGTCCAGTCAGCCTAACATCAATACCTGGGAAGGTACTGGCAAAGATAATTTAAAAAATAGATCTGCCAACATCTAGAAACGAGTAAAGTAATAACTAGCAGTCAGCATGGGTTTGTTAAAAACAGGTCATACCAAACTTATTTCATTCTTCAACATAGTGACTAAATTAGTAGACCAGCGAAATGTTGTGGACATAATACACTTAGACTTCAGCAAGGCATTCAACAAAGTAGACCACAACCTACTTCTTGGTAAGCTAGAAAAAAGTGGGATAGACACCATAACCATTGGATGGATTTGTAACTGGCTGACCAACCATACTCAACGAGTAGTCCTTAATGGGTCTAAGTCTACATGGAGGGAAGTAAACAGTGGGGTTCCATCTTAGGCCCAGGACTCTTCCATATCTTCATAAACGACTTAGATGAGGGAATAGAAGGGGAACTTAACACATATCCGGATGATACTAAGCTGGCAGGAATAGCCAACACCCAAAGAAGATAGGCTCAAGATCCAAGTGGATCTTGACAGACTGGAACACTGGGCCGTATCTAACAAAATGAAATTCAGTGTAGACAAAAGTAAAGTCCTACACTTAGGCAAGAAAAACCCAAAGGACACATACAGATGTGGTGAAACCAGGCTCAACAGGAGGAACTGAAGAGGGATCTTGGTGTCTCAGTGGACAACCAGCGAAATGGGAGCCAGCCGCATGCAGCGGCAGCCAAAAAAGCCAATGCAATCCTAAGTTGCATTACAGAGGGATTCGATAGAGATCAAGGCAGGTACTAATACCACTCTACAAAGCCTTAGTAAGGCCACACCTGGAGTCCTGCATCCAGTTTTAGTAACCACATTATAAAAAAAGATGTCGAGGCTCTAGAGCAGGGGTGTCAAACTGAAGGCCCAGGGGCCAGATCTGACCTGCGGGGCCACCCTGGAAGCACAAAGGACTGGCCCGCAGTGCCTCTCCCCAGCTACGTTTTTGCTGGCAGAGGGTTGTAGGGGGCCGTCACAGCCAAAAACAGAGCTGGGGAGTCCATTTTTGCTGGCAGAGCTCTCGGCCCACCACAGGCGCCACCGACACAAGTAACATCAAGCTGGCCACACCCCTGGCCCTCTGAGGAGGCCAAACACAACCCTGATGTGGCGCTCAATGAAATCAAGTATCTTCCTTCTCTCCTTTTCTTTGTTCTTTCACCGTTTGTGAAAGTTAAAAAAAGGTGGGGGCATTTGAGCTCATTTGTGCCGAAGCTTTACAGAATAACAGAGTTTGAAGGGGACCTCGGAGGTCTTCTAGTCCCACCCTTTGCTCAAGCAGGAGACCTGGTATCATATCAGTTGTCCAGTCTCTTCTTGGTTCTCTGAATGCTGTAGAGAGAGTGCAGAGAAGAGCAACCAGGGTGATGAGGGGATTGGAGGCTGAAACAGATGAAGAAGAATGGTTGCAGGAACTGGGCATGGCTAATCCAGTGAAGAAAAGGACCAGGGGAGACAGGAGAGCAGGGCTCCAATATCTCAGGGGCTGCCCCAGAGAGGAGGAGGAGGAGGGGGTCAAGCTATTTTCCAAGGCACCTGAAGGCCAGACAAGGAAACTGAGAGATTCAACCTGGAGATAAAGAGGAATTCCCTGGCGGTGAGAACAATCCACAGTTGCCCTCGGAAGTTGCGGGAGCTTCATCCCTGGAGGCTTTCAAACAGGGTCTCTTGCTTGGGCAGGGGTTGGACTAGATGACCTACAAGGTTCCTTTCAACTCTGCTAATCTGTAAAGATTAACCCCAGGATTAACAATCTGGTGACAAACAATGCCCCAATCAAGGAATTATCAACGCAGATAATCAAACAATAAACAAAACCCTAATCAAGGAACTACCAACAAAACACCAACACTGAATGACAGGGGAGCCACTGTAATTAAACAGAGAACAAACCCCTCCCCTTTCCAGCACTGATGATATTACCTAGTTGGGTAATGAAATATCTGCAAGAAAACAGCCAAGCTGAGAGAACACCAAGCACTCCACGGTTCAACCAAGATGTAAATATGATCTTCTGTGGGTTATTCCGTTTTCTGGAAGAACGAAGAAGAGACAAGCTCCTCCTGGATCGGACCCTAATCAATGAGGAAGACCTGGGGAAGAGGTGCCGTAGAAACATTGAGCAGCAACCAGTGTGTTCAAACCACAACAGGAAAAAACTGGAGCCTCATCTTACACAGAAACTTGATTACAGCAAGCTTAGAGAAAGAAGTGCAGGTGTGATTCCACCTGCAGGATCCTCACTGAGCAAGGCAGATCAGAAGCATCTCTACAACAAGAGGCTGAAAATACAATCCAAGCAACAATCTTGCTTACCAACTATTTGTTCAGTGACTGTTCAAAGTTAGGACTGGAGATTTACGACCAGTCTCAAAGTCCCATCCTTGCAGGGTCCCCATAGTTATGCAATTGCGATTTGGGCACCCTGGTGTGCATTTTCAATGGACACGGCATCCCCATTTGCAATCTGCACAGCCAGCTTCTGACAAGCAAAGTAAATGGGGAAGCCAGCAGGAAGTTGCAAATCACGGTCATGTGACTCCTCACTCAGGTGGGGTGATTTGCAGGTGATTGCCTAATGACCACAGCTAGAACGGTTTCGTTTTATGACTCTGCTTAGAGATGGAATTGCCAGTCCCAACTGCAGTCAGTGCCAGTAATACACCATATCCAATGAAGGAGGGAGGGGGAATCATGGTAAATTAAAAAAGCATTTAGGTAAATGGGCAATTTCTGACTAATAGTTAAATGTAACAAGAATGGGAAATGAGTGCATGTATTGCCAAATAGCTGAGAAAGTCAGAAAAGCCAAAGCTGCAAAGAGGCAAAAGCGAAGCGAACAGCCAAGAAGAGGAAGGGGCGGACCTGAGGCTTGGACACGAGGGCAAGCAGGGAGTGGTAATGGGGAGGGGGCAGAGGCAGGTGGTCCAAATCAGGTGGCCTCACATGGTGCACAGCAGAACACCCGATGAAAGGTGAAGGGCGGCCCATAGAGGAAGCCCTGAGCTTCTGTGAGGGACCCTCAGGCCAAGCTCCGGCAGGGACCCCTGAGGAAGCTTTGGGGTGGAGGGGGGTGTCAGAGCCCCTTCCTGATGCGCTCCCTTGTTCCCTTGGCACGGAAGGCGGCACAAGCATCGTTTGTTTATATTTCATACGCCGCCACCCGGCTCTGCCAAGCGGCTCTGAGCGCAGGATGGCTTGGGTGGTACTGGCGAGCCACAGAGGGGGAAAAGTGCTGGGGACCTCGGGGAATCACAGGCTGACTAGGAGAAGCCCACAATGCAGGACAACTGTAAAGAAAACCTAAGTTCCGGGTCTTGTGTTTGGGAGGAAGGGTCCCGGGCAACCGCACCGCCACCAGGGAAACAAAGCCCCACTCCGGAGGCACTGCGGGGGGGGGGCACCCCGGAGGGAGCAGCGGCCTTCAAGGCAAGGGCCCTGGCGGATGCCCGCCGGTCTACCGGGCGGGACAAAGGCGACGGGCAGCCCCGCCAGTCCGGCTCGGCGGTGCCCGATTCGCGCCCGGCATCTGAGACCGCGCCGGCTTCCCTTCCCTCTGGTCCGTCCGTCCGTCCGTCCCCCCACCCCGCGCCTTGCCTGCTCTCCCCCTCCCTCTGAGCCCCCCTCCCCTCCCCTCCCGGCCCACCTGAGCAGCTTGTAGTAGAGGAAGCGGAAGGCCTCCTGCAGCGCCACGGAGAAGAGCACGCCGAAGACCAGCAGGCCCCGCTGCAGCGCCTGGTCGGCCGGGTCGCTGGCCTTGGCCGCCACGAACCAGACCAGCGAGGAGAGCAGCAGCGACACCAGCCAGAAGAAGGCCCTGAGGTTGGGGGGGGGGGGGGGGGGGGCCCCGGCCCCCCCCCCCCCCCCCCCCCCCGCCGGACCCGCCGGACCCGCCCCTCCCCTCGGCCTCACCCCTCGGCCTCACCCCGCGATCAGGATGATGACCCGCAGCGGCTCGCCCACCACCGTCAGCAGGAAGAGCGCCAGCGCCGGCCCGAAGGCCACGAAGGCGCACCCGAAGAAGACCGGCAGTGTCATGGCCGGCAGACGCGCCCACGACGCCCGCCTCGCGCACGCGCACGCGCACCCGCCCCGCCCAGCGCTTCTTCCCCCCACCCCCCGCGCGCGAGCCCCGCCCAGCAGACCAGGGGAGCGTCGGCCTCGCGGAGGAGGGGGCGGGGCGGGGGGCGTGTCTGCTGAGCGCCCCTAGACGGCCCCGCCTGTCCGGATGCCCTGGCGCCCCTTCCGGTGCCTATGAGGGACGGCCATGCCCGCCTCGTAGTATATTCAGAATAGAGCTGGAAGGGACCGTGGAGGTCTTCTAGTCCAGCCCCCTGTTCAAGCAGGGGACCCTACGCCGTTCCAGGCAAGCGGCTGTCCGGTCTCTTCTTGAAAGCTTCCAGTGATGGAGCACCCACAACTTCTGGTGGCAAAGAAGTTCCACTGGTTAATTGTTCTCGCTGTCAGGAAGTTTCTCCTTAACTCCAGGTTGCTTCTCTCCTTGAATAGCTTTATTTTTATTTTTTATTTATTTTATTTTGTCAAGCGATTATAAGATAACAGGTATAAGTATAAACATGGTTATGAATACATGAAATGGATACGTATAAGAAAATAAAAAGAAACAATAGGACAGGGACGTTGGTGCCTGTTTGACAGGAATGCTTCTATCCAGTTATGCAGCTGTCCAGAGATACCATAAGATTTTAGTTTTAGGAGTAGTTTGTCATGTACCACTGAATCAAAGGCTTTACAGAGGTCTGTGTAGATTGCGTCTATTGTTTTGCCCTGATCAAGTTGTGTAGTCCATATGTTTTTGCAGTGTAAGAGTTGCAGATTACAGGATAGTTTTTTTAAAAAAAAACCCAAATTGTTCGTTAGAAAGTAGGTTGTTTTCTCTAAGTGGATAATGGATTGGTTAATAGTTGATTCCATGACTTTACAGGTGATGCAGCATAAGGAGATTGGTCTGTAATTTTCAACTAGGCTGGGGTCTCCCTTTTTGAAGATGGGGATGACTGTGGCTAGTGACCATAGGTTTGGCAAGGAGCTGGTATTGAAAGATTTTTCAAAGATTATGCTTAGAGGTTTGGCTATGGCAGTGGAAGCTTTTTTAAGAAGTAAACACATATTCCGTCCGGTCCAATAGATAGAGATGGTTTTAGATTGCGTAGTGCTTTTTCAACATTGTCTTCTGTAAAATCAATATGTATTAGATTGTTGTAGTTGTCTGTGGTTCGATTAGGAAATATCCATTGCTGTTTACAAATACTGAGCCAAAGAATGTGTTAAAGAGGTTGGCTTTCATTGTTGCAGTCTTTACCATTAGGTAAATAGCATCCATCCATTGTTCAGTTTAGTTTTAGTTTAGTTTATTGTCACTGCATCTCGGACAATGAAATTAAATACCATCTTCAGTGTACATCATGACCATGAAAATAAACACACAAACACATCCTTCACCCTCCACATATTAAACCAAAAAACTCCATGCCAACACTGCACTATACAGCAGAATTCAAAAGAGCAACTGCCCTGGGATAGAAGCTGTTTTTCAGCCTATTTATCCTTGTTTTTATTATTCTGTAAAGGGTTCCCAGGATGAGATAGATCTTTGAGGATGTTTTGAATTTTCTTAAGGTAGCGGGAGCTATAAAGCTCTTCCCAAGAGGGGAGAGGGCAACCCATGTGGTGCAGTGGTTCTGAGATGACCTCTGCCAGCTCCTTTAAAATTCTGGGGTGTAATCTGTCAGATCCAGGTGATTTGTATTCATCAGGATCAGACAGATGTTCTCTTACTATTTTTTTTGCTTTTTTAAACTTTTATTTTTAGTCTGTTTTTTACAGTTGTTTTTGGTGGGTTGAGCTATAATTTCTTTTTGTGTGAAGACGGATGCAAAGAATGAGTTAAGCAGTTCTGCTTTCTCTCTGTTGCCTGTTACTTCCTTGTCATCTTCTCTCTTTAGTGGACTGACTGTTTCCTTGATTTTTTTTCTTGTTATTTATATGTGGGAAGAAACTTTTTAAATTATCTCTGACTTTTGTTGCAAGTCTTTGTTCGTTCTGAGCCTTTGCTATCCTGACTTCGTCTTTGCAGATTCTGGCTCTCTGCTGATATTCTGCCTTAGTTGTATGTCCTTCTTTCCATTTTTTGTACTTGTCCTTTTTTTCTTTCAATTTGCCAGAGAGATCTTTGTGTAGCCATGCTGGTTTCTTTGTGGATTTCTTGTTTTTCTTTCTCAGTGGTATTGTGCTGGTCTGGGCTTCTATGATCATACTTTTTAGAGTTTCCCAAGATTCTTCAGTTGTTTTCCTCTTTAGGATTTTCATTCAAGAAATCTTTCCCAAGTTCTCTCTGAGTTTATTGAAATCAGCTCTTTTAAAATCCAAGAGTCTGGTGTCATTATGTTCTATTGCTTGTGTTTGTGTTATGTTGAATTCTAGTATGACATGGTCACTCACCCAAGGTTCCTGCAGTTTCAACGCCCTCTATCACTTTTTCTCTGTAAGAATTAAGTCCAGTATGGCTGTCCCTCTAGTTTCACACTCTACCTATTGGACAACAAAGTTGTCAGCTAGGTTGGTTAGGAACTTATTTGATTTCTCACTTGGTGCAGAATTAGTTTTCCAATTGATATCAGGGTAATTGAAGTCTCCCATTACTATTGTGTGTTTCCTGCATGTTTGTTAGTTGGCTGGCAAAAAGGACATTTATTTCTTCTGCTTGATTGGGTGGCCTATAATATACACCTATGGCCATGTCATTCTTTTTTTCTTTTATATTGACTCATATGCATTCTAGGTGGTTTACATCTTTGGTTTCATGCATTTCTGTAGCAATATAGTGGTCCTTTACATACAGTGCAACTCCACCTCCTCTTTTATGGGGTCTGGTTTTTTGAATAGTTTGTATCTTTCTACCAGTATGTTCCAGTCATGGGTTTCATCCCACCAAGTTTCTGTTATTCCAACTATATCATGTATTCATAGTTCGAGTATTCATAGTTCGAGTTCACCCTGTTTGTTCCCCAGACTTTGTGCATTTGCTCACAACAGAGACAATTGTGCTTGAAACGAAGGAAGTGTGAATAATTGGTGTGGCACTACCAAGGGATAGTAGAATAGAAGACAAAGAATTGGAGATCACAAAGTATCAAGATCTGAAAATAGAAAGATTATGGCATCAACCGGCCATGGTAGTCCCAGTGGTTATCAACCCACTGGGTGCCAGACCAAAAAGGTTATGGCCAGCATATAGAAAACCTGAGCATTGACCAAATTTCCACCGGTCAGTTGCAAAAGGTCACCCTGCTTGGAGCCACACATGGACGCCAATATATGCCATCCAGGATCTCGGGCAGAGCCTCGTGCATATTAAGGACCACAGCTAAAGAACTAGCAGCTGGGACTTGGGGTTCTTGCCAACAGAAGATAATAGGATGATTCTGGGAGGGGAGCAAGCAACTGGCCATCGTTACTTGCGCAGGCCTCTTCCACTTGCTTTGACCACTTACATGGACGCTGTTGCTTAGAGGCTCCCAGATGAGCAGCTCGTGGCAGTGAAAAGGAGCAGAAGGGAGGCCCTTTCCTCGAATGCAACGCTGGGCCACCGACGGGGATTTACTTGATTGCTCCTGCAGTCGCCTCTTGGAGATGGGCAACACACAAACGCAGTAAGCCAAAGGAAAGGAGACAGCAGCTGCGGCCCCTTCCTTTCACTGAACGCTGGGTGCTGTACAGTCCGTGCGGCCTTTCACCCCACTTGAAACAGGTTGAAAGGGGAACAGAGAGGAGATCTTCTCTGGGGCATCCAGAGGAAATGAGGACAATGTGCATGGGGGGTGGGGGGTGGGAGGTTGTTGGTATGAGCCAGTCTTTGGTTTGGCTCGTCTCCTGCCTTTCATCCCCTGGCAGCTCTCTCCCTAAGGCTGTCTATTCAGAAGAGCAACTGCCCACCTCCAGGGAAAGAAGAGAGGGCTGGCACCCCTCAAGCACAGGGGTATATTAGCTGGGTCGTCTTCTCCCTGCCATGGCCTGGTGCCTTGCCCCAGCGAGAGAGGGGAAGGGTGCTCGCAAGAGGGCCCCAGTCACACCAGGTGCCTGAATCCCCCTGCTTCCTGGAGGAGATGGGCACAGGGCCGTTTCTCAACGGTGGCCTGGACGACACCAAGCTGAGCCCCTCACAGCCCCCCCCCCGCCCACTCCCGGTGGGAAAGCCAAAGGCTGCCCTGTTGAAGGTAGATTAGGTGGAGCAAAGGGTGATCCCGCCCCTGAAAGGCTCACAGTGGCAAGACATTTGCTGGACTCCAGCGGGAGACTTTGGTGGGCAGGAATATCTCATGTGTTAAACCAGAGAAAAGCAACTCTCGCTTCCAAGACTTGGGACGGTATCAGAGGCTGGTCCAAGGACCCCAAATCTCGTCTTTCCGTTGTCCCAGCAGGCCATTAGCAGCAGAGAGACCGGAAGCTCACCCTGCAGATCTTGCACCCAGCCCCACAAACGACACAGGCACACAGCACCCTGGCTGCTCAGCTTGCTTTAATATCTTCTCTGGAAAGTGAGGCGCTGCACCGACTGCACAGGGACCGGCATCGGCCTGGGCTGCAGGGGGCCATCCTTCCTCCCAGAGCTGCGGGGGTGGGTGGGTGGGTGGGGCTCAGCTCAGCCCCTCAGAGATTGTTCAGTTCGAGAAGAGTTTGGTCCAGGACCTGGTGGATGCCGACGTTCTCCTCTTTGGCACTGGCCAGGTTCTCTGCAAACACAAGGCAAGCGACGGACACACGCACCCAGGCACAGGCGCACAGAGCAGCCAGGTGGAGAGCCACCCAAGTGAGAGGAAGGCACACGCACAGACACACACACACACACACACACACACACACACCCAAGGGGCACGTCAGTCTCATGTCTTCCGAAGAAAAGCAGCAGCTACAAGGATGCCAGGCTACTCAGAAGGGGAGGCCCGAGATGCTAGTGGGCAGCCTTCTCCCCCCCCCCCCCCCGGGTGGCTGAGAGGCGGCCAGCCAAGCCCACCACACTAACCAGGGGCATCGCAGCTGGCTGAGGGCA